TTAGTGGTCAGGAATGTGGCAGGTGCATGAGAGCTGTGAATGGGGAGAAGCAGAGAAGTGCCTTTTCTCCAGAGTATGAGGCCATAAACTGACAGCCTGTGACTTGGCAGAGGTGTGATAGAAGAGTCTCATTTCATGTGTGAGATAGTAGAAAGAGAAGCTGCACAGCTTCAGGCAAGGAGCTCTCTCTCAAAACAAAACAAAAACATACAAGAAAGATACTGTATATTTTTAATGTTTGTGTGGCACTCAGAAGCTGGAAATCGTTTAAGAGCCACATATTAGTTCCCTAATGTGTAAAACGGTGACTAATGCTATTACATTCTGTCATACAGAAGCCCTTGGGATGCAGTTTCAAAGAGACGCAACAAATAACCACAAAATAAAATTAAAGAAGAAAAAAAAGAAAGACGGGGAACAAAATCCCTCCTCCCATTTCAGTGCAGATGTGCCGACTAACAGTTGGCTCACCTGGGCTCTTCTTCCTGCTTCACCCTTCTGTGCTGGAACTGCCCCTTCAAGCTCACCCTCCACCAGCACTCCCAGCATCACTCTACTCAAGCACCTCCCAGGCTCCATCCCAGGGATCCCTAACATCTCTCACAGATGGAGGAGCCTTGCCAGGCCCTGGCTGAAGGGGCTGGAATGCACAGTGGTGTGAAAAGCCCACCCATAGAATACAAAAAAACCTCTAGGATTTTTTTTCCCTAAGCCCATGTATAATAAGCTGAGCTTGATGAAATGTGCTGGATGAATGCATCCTTCGTGCGGCTGTTTCTAGAGGAGCGAATTTTTTTTATTTCTCCTTTTAATTAGCCAGGCTTAAATTAGCAGCATCTACTGTTGATATTCCTCCGTGAACAGCGAGAACATTTTCAATCAGGAGCCTTATTAACATGCATAAAAGTGATTTGTTTTGATTTCAATCTGGAAGGGTCTCTTTCCCCCAAGTTTCCATTTCTGCTCTAAACGAAGGTGGAATCACAGTGCAGTGGCCACATACACATATATGAGAGCTCCTATTACCTGGGGAAACCCTTTGCAGGGAGCTTCAGAACTCCCACCTGGGCCAGCAGTTATTCTGCTGTGTTTTTCTGTGCTGAAACAACAGCCCAACTTGGGATGGAGTAGGCTTGCCCAAGCTGCTGTGCTCCATTGATGGATTATTAAAATGAACACAACAAAACTCTTTTTGGTGTTTTTTTGTTTTTTGTTTGCTTCCCAGCAGCTCTGAGACTCCTCTCAGTGACCTCTTCCTCTTCCAAACGGTGGTTTTGAGCAATAGGAAAATATAGGTGTTTTTCCATCAATTCCTGAGCTGCTGCCCCAGCATTTGTACACTGATGCTACAGAGGACCAATGCAGCTCTGTGTGCAGAAACACTCCCCGTGCCTTATATGATGGAGGCCTCCCCTATGCAAATGGAAGTAGGCAGTGGGTGCAGAGCACCATGCTGTCCCCAGGTATGGAGTGGGTCCTGTTCCTTGCCCAGCCCCAGGCTCACATGCACAACGCCCACAGCACCTGCCGGTTCAGCTGTGGGATTTTCCTTGCATTCAACAGATGCACATTTTAATTTCAGCTCATCAGAAGTTTTCCTCACTCCCAATTAATGCCAGTTTTTATGTCGCTTTTTTTTCCCTCTGAGAAAATCCCAGTTTCTCACTGTTAATCTCAGTTACATTCAGTAACAGTGCCTGATTCTTCTTCTTATTATTTTTTCAATGAAAATGTTTTCTGCCTGGACTTTCTTCTTCTAAGAATGTGTGAGAAAAACTCCATTCTTATTTCCTAAGAGACTCAGTGGACCCTGGTCACGTGCTTAAATCAGAAGACAAGACCATATTCTTCAGATGTAGGTTACTCAGATTCATGCCAGGTTTGAACCACACAGGTTGTGCACAGCAGTGATTCACACTGCATAGATGTGCAGTAGGCTGGGTGTGCAAGAAATACACCATGGCTCCTCCTCATGGGCAGAGAGTGCTGCCTTTGGGGGTTCTGTCCCATCTCCCATCACTGCAGAGTTGTGAGGAACCTGGGTATAGGAGCCATGGGACAGACTGGTCACAGAATTAGAATATCCTGAGTTGTAATGGACCCATGATGACCATCAAGTCCAGCTCCTGGACTGATGGGCTGCTGATAGACAGAGTGGAGGATGTTAGGTTGGCACGATGACAACATGCTGTGGTGCTGCAGCCCTTGGATGTGGTCAAAAAGCCTGTGAAGAAAGGACTCCCCAGACATTGCCCTCGAATGGAAGAGTCTTGTGATCACGAGGACAAGAGCATTGCCTCTAAATGACGTCTGTTTTCACAAGTTGGAAGGACAGGCTTTTGATGTGTTTCCAGTGTGCCTTTCTTCTCCTGCATCTCCTGCCCCAGGGTTTCCTGGTGAAGGAACTGGAGCTCTGTGTCCCCAGAAATTAAAACAAAAACTGGCTTCTGTGGTATTTCCTGAAATGTGTTTTCATCTCATGGAATCTGTCCTAACAGCAGCCCCGAAGCAGCAAAGGTTTCATTTTCATCTAGAAGCGATCAAAAGCAACATCAGTAGGGAATAAATACACAAAGCCACGCTGCAGGGATATTAGCTCACATGACAAGGCAGTGCCTTTTGGTTTACTGAAAGAGTGGCTTGCTCCATCTCTGTGTGTTTTGGGCACTTTGCTCTGCTTGTGGAGAAGTGAGACCCAGAGCTGCCCAGGACAGAGCAGCCTACTGAAACCCAGCAGGAATCCCATCTGGGCTGCTCTGCTCCCTTGCCTCCAGCCCACGCACCTGCAGGCTCACCTTCACATCGTGGGGGATTTGAGTTACATCCACCAAAGCACACACTTCACCCCCACGATAGGACATGCGATGCCATTCCCTCAGCATGGGAATGTGCCATCAAGAACAGCCATCAGCACCGCTTCCCTTCCCCTCTGATCAGGCAAATGAGATGCTTCCACTCTGAATCCAAGGCTGGAAGACAACACACCTTTAATTCATGCAGTAAAACTATAAGGGCTTTTTTGGCACCCCAGCTGCAAGAATGCAATGAAATGCTGCTGGGTGCAGACTAGCTGAAAAGGGGAAGGGATCAAATCCCACTCCTGGAGGAAAGCAGCCGCTACTGTCACTGCAGAGCTGTCATAGGAGGTGCTGCCACTGTGCCCCTGAGGTGGGAGAAGACAAAACAAAACAGAACAAAAGTTTAGGTGGAACAACCAAATAATGAATGAGATTTATTGAAGTTTAACGAAGAACACGGCTGTGCAGTGTGGGAGTGCTGGCCATGGAAACAAGCAGCTCCAATGCAGGGGCTCCCAGAGCACATGAGATTTTTATTCCCAGGGGTTTTCCATAAAGCATCTCTAGAGTTGAAGTAAGTGCTGCACCATGTGGCTGTCACTATGGAAACGAGTATTTTTACACGGTAAAAAATAGTCCCATAAAGCTCCCATAAGCTGCTGGTGCTAAAGCCACTCGGTGAGCCATGTGGCTACGGGAGAGCAAACGGTGCCACTTCCAGGAGGGTGGTGGTGGTGGCACCTGCTGGCACTGGGGAAAAGAGCACCTGACCTCATCCAGTTCCACCACCTATGCATGGTGCCAATGGGGCCTGCCCCTTTATATGCTGCTTTATAGCCTCTACCCTGACAATGTGTGAGCTGCAAGCGTTGCCAAGCCTCTCCTGCAGACTTGGTGGCTGATGCTTGGTGCTATTCTCTAGTGTCACTCCACTGCACAACAAGTCGGTTCAGCTCCACTTATTTGTACATTGGAAGCATGATGGAAGCATTTGTATATTGGAAGCGTGATTGGAAGCATGGAAGCATACTGGAGGACCTCTGGACAAATGTCAGGCACTGGAACGGGCTGCCCAGGGAGGTGGTGCAGTCACCAACCCTGAAGGTGATCAAGAAATTTTTAGATGCTGTACTGAGGAACGTGGCTTAGTGACTAGATACTGGTGGTAGGTGGACAGTTGGACTAGATGATCTTGGTGGTCTCTTCCAGCCTTGGCGATTCTGTGTTACAGTATATTTTGGGGAAACTATCCAGACTGCAATACTTAACAGGATCCAGAAGGCACTGGGAAAGTCTCTGGGTGTACCCTCCAATTCCAGCTTTAGGGCTACCCGAAGCCCAGTGCAGCACATGTTCTCCATCCCAGCAGACAGAACTCCAGCTGAACAAGAACTGTGGGCACTTGCTTAAGCATTAACATTCACAGAAATGTAAAACTCATATTGAGCTATTTATTCTGTGCATTCACCTTTCATTGCAGTACGTGCTAAAATTAAGTACTTCTAACTGCTGAATGGAGCAAACAGAAATTGCTTCCATCATCTAAAGCTGACAGCCGGCTATTCAGCCCTCCATCCTCCCTACTGGATGGCATGATCGGGTTCCTTAATGACGAGCAAGAGTGTTTGATTTTCAGCAGCAGTACCACATTACGGCACGCATTAATTTGCTAGGAAATCATTTTAGGAGAACATAAAGTGTGATAGATTCCAGTTAGAAACACTAAGTACAATAAAGTACAATAAAGGCCCCCCAGGTACCTCTGAAATGTGACATCCCAAGAAATTCCTTCACAAAAGGAGCTGGAAACAAGCCGCCTTACCCATACCATATCTCCACACCTCATAGTTAAGGGAAGGATGGAGACCATCCACCAGGTCATCTGTCAGCAGATATTAAGCATTAACCTATTTCAAATGTTATGTGTATTTGCAGACAGGAACTGAATAGGTCAAAGAGGCTTCTGGTTCACAAAGAAAGATGAAATGGTATTTAATGCTGCATCTGAATAGCTGCCCATGTAAATAGAATATGTGTGCAGGAGTAAGAGAGGTTACGTTGTTGTAACCTTCTGTTTCTAAAGCCTTGCATTATTTTATCCTTTGAAACAAACCTTAGGTGAACAAACCATACAGCTGTCTTACAGGTAGCGAGCTTTAAAACCAGATTACAATAAACAGAGACCAGGACACAGAGGACACATTTTGTTAGCAGAAGACAAGTTTAATAAAACAGACTTTTTACAATCACATTGACATCGTCATACTCATTCCTGCCATGGTGCCTGAACTTCAAACATTCCCTCTCATTTCTCTCTAATCAATGTAAAAACACCATGGCTAACTAGCAAGATCAGGCTGCCCTCTCCTAATGCATGAGAAGTGCCCCATACAGCCCCCATATGCCCTTCATGGTGTAGGCTAAGGGATATTCACTATGGATGAAATTTGGGGTTGCTTCTGTATGAAGCTCTCCTGAAGGGGAAGATGAGGACATGTGATGCAGCCACCCATGTGCCTCTGTGCACGTGCATTTCCAGACTGTCCGTGCTATTTTTGATCTCGTGTGTATTCTCACTCTCCCCTGCATCTATCTTCCTGCCAGCATCACATACTGAGGATGAGACTGAGGTAGTTTATACTACTGGCTTGAGCTGAATTATGATAACAAGAAAAGAAAACTTTTATAAAATCCTTAATTACTTCTATGCTACCTTGTTTGCTTTCTCTTCTGTTAGCTTTACACCCATGCAAATGTTCATGACAGACGGGAGAGCAGGCAGCCAACACATAGGAGCGCACAGCCAGTCTTACTTGGGGAGGGAGGAAAGGGAAAGCCCCACCAGTGAGAAGCCCCCATTGTCCTGCATCCCAGAGCAGAAAGCTGCTTCCACAGATCAGAACCAGACAGCTTTAGTGTCATTTCCAAGGAATGTGGCCACAGCATCCTTCATAGAAAGAATGCATTGAAGTGTTCCAGCAGGGCAGGGACCACAGCCATCTCTGCTGGGAGATGTGCCTGGCACGCAGAGACTGCTTCCATACTTCTTCCCCATTCACACAGCACACAGGAGCCTAAGGACTGGACCCACAGAGATGTTTAGGGGGCCTAACTTCCATTCCAGACTTCCATGGGAGGCTGGTTACCTAAATAGGAGTAGAGCGCCTGATTACCTTAGCAGGTCTGGGCTCCCCTGGCTGTGCCCGTGCTGGGACCCTCACTGCTCCTCTGGCTGGTGTAGAAGTGTGGTGCAGTGCTACCCTGGTGTTGTGAAGTAGCCGTTCTCCGACTGGTGACGGCCTGATTCACAACACCAGCTGCTGCACGGCACCTGGCAGGGCCCTGCATCCTCTGTGCTCCATCCTCATCCTGAAAAGCAAAGAGAGGGTTACATCTGTCCATCCCACAGGTTGCATGCTCCCACCTGCTTACAACGACACTGAAGTACTACAGCTGAACTTCTTCCCCCAGAAATGACAGACAGATTCTGCACTTGAGATCTGCTGCACTGTAAGACTGGCTGCTGTAGTGTGATGCGGGTTCAGCTGCATCCTCATGATCCACATCCTGTGTTCATCTCAGGAGGCTCACAGGCAGGGGATGTAACCTAGAAACTCAGCCCAGCCCCAAGAGACACAAAGAAACAGGCTGCTGCATTTTCACTGATGCCAAGATGCTGTCAGAAGGAGAACGGTGCCGCGGGGAGCATGCGGCCTCTTGGGCACTGTGCTGCTGTTCAGCCTCACACCCTTCAGCACGTGCCCTGCCTGGGGTGGGTAGTACACCAGCACGTTGCCTGGCCTGTCCCCAGGGTAGTGGCATGAGGGGTACTGCCTACAGTCTTAAGGGTCCTGCTGGAACCAAGGGAGACTCAATCTGGAGGCCCTGTGCTCCCCTGCATGGCCCTATCCCTCAGAGATGTGTGGAAGTTGAGAGATGCAATTCACTGCTGACCACCAAAGTCTTCAGATTGATTTCCCTCAAAATGCTGCACGTGTGGTACAGTGACTCACTTGCAATGCTCAGGTCATTCTCATCACCTCACGGGCTGCTAACTTATCCACACTATGAAGCAAACAACAGGCAAACACTCAAATCTAGTATGTGCATTAAGGACTTTCCTTAGCAACCAGAGCTCAAAATAAAACAGTTTCTGTCACCCAGCTTGGGACTGCCTCTGTGTTGAGGACCAAATGCAGGAGTCTTTAAGCAAAACAGGGAGAAAGCATGCGATGTGGAGCCTGGCACATCTCCAGGGAGAAACTGCTCCTTTTTAACAGTTCTGGAGCAGGTTTGGTGTGGAGACAAAACTTTCCACTTTTCTGACTGAAGGGAGTTACTCGTGTGCTTCCCTATTTGATCCAAAGGAAACCTCATGCACTGACTTTTCACTGCAGAGATGGGAGATGGGGTCACGACCAGTGCCTAAGCAAAGAAACTACAAACAAGTGGAGTAAGGGGAGACCTCCCAGGTTCTATATTGGAGCTGCTGCACGAAACGGAGATGAATCTGACACCTCTGCACGTGCGTGCACTTGTAAAGCCTCAGCTATGTCACGCTGACAGAGCTTTTCTTTAAAGAGCAGTTTCTGAAATTTTAATACACAGTGCTACAAGAAACAAAACAGCGTATTCATATTTTATGCAAGTCTATTATTCAGCTTCAACACGGGCAAGGAAGAGTCTGAAAGTGGAAGCCGTGCTCTGGCTGCTCCTGAGCAGCAGTGACTCGGCAATGCTGAAGGTGACCAGATGCTGACAGGTCCCTCCCTGCGTGCCGCGGCACTGCGCATACAGGCAGGAGCACACTGTCACACCAAGAATAATGCCAAATGCATTCTGCACGTTCCCTGTTCCATGGGAACATTGAAGTCTGACAATGGTACTGTGGGTGGGAAAAGAAAAACAAATGATACAAGCTTTTTTCAAGGTTGTTTAAATCCTTATGAAACCTTTCACGCAATCTGCATCCAAGTACAGCAGAGCTCTAAAACGAAATCAATCTCCTGTATGCATCGCTCGCTGCCCAGAAGCCAATTTAAAAGCCTTTTCCACTAAGAACCAGTATTATGCACTCTGCAAGTGAGAAATGAACACTTAACCCAAGACTCTCTCTCCCCTCGCTGCACCAGAGATGGATGCTGCCTTTCTGCCCTTACTGTCACTGTCAAATAGTTCAACACGGTCTTAGAGCTCATCTGATCTGCACCCTTAGTACAATTTTACAGTTTTTAGTCACCTATGGGCTATAGTTTTCATGTTCTCTATGTGGTTTAAAAGCTTTCTTACCATTTTCACTCGTGTCCAATTTCCTCAGCAGCTGAATAAGTGGCAGAGGAAGCACTGCACTCTCCCATGCCGGCTGGTGCTGTGAGCCCTGAGGAAAGACAACAGAACACATTTACTTTGGGATGAGGCTAATATGTATACATTAGGAGAAGAATCTCATCTCCTATAAACAGGAAAAAAACTTCTTTGTTTTTGCAGGGGGGGACAGATATGAGATCCAATAATGCAGATCACCCTCTCTAGGAATTAGCACTTTTTTTGGTTTAGAATCAGGAAAGAACAAAAAGGAACCAAGAAGCTGCTTTCTTCACTCTGAACTGCTGCCTGGTGAGCCTGGTCCTCGGGTCCACACAGGACAGCAAGCGCAACTCCTCCAGCACAGCTCTGCTCTCACTGCTAATATTCCATGCAAATAGATTTCCTTGCTTTGGTCACAGCAGTCTATTAATTCAGCCCGCTTGTCTGGTACATCTTTATCCTCCGCAGGTTAATCCTGCCAAATTCCTTTGCTGTAGTACATGTCACACAGCATATAATATCCAACAATGCAATTTTGCTAATCCTGTTTTATCAGCTTTGTTGCTCTGTCTGGTCAATCCAACAGTGAAAAAACGCACGGAGGGTTTTTGCCAACATCTCCCCCTCTTTCGCCCTCCCCCCTCCCCAACTTTGCATGGTTTCAATTAAATGGTTTGAGAGCAGAACACACTGTTTGGATATCCGCCAATGTCCTTCAGACGCAGAATGTCAAGGCACTTAATTATATAGGTCTCCAAACTCTTTCAGATGCCCCACCTACCCAGCCTGCTGCATTTACTGAAGGCAAGTGTAAAAAATCAGCTCAGATCTCTTTTTAAAACACTCTCCACGCATTAAGGACTGGAAGATGGCTGAATAGCGACGTATTTATCGCCCATTATCTTACGGAAAGATTACACAAATGAGTGAAGACCGTCTCATTAACAGTTCTTTGTTGTCTTGTTTACTATTTAGTGGACTCATTAACATTAATTATTAGAAGAGGAACATCAATTATTGCAATAACCTTTGTCAAGCCGACTAAACTGACTCAAACAGCCAATGAGCCGCGCTTGTCAGGCAGGATTTGCATGTGCAAAGCGAAGAGAAAGGACAGCCGAAACGCGCTGCGACCGCGTGTCAGCGTTCATTCCGGCACCAGCAGACCTCCGGGAGGAAAATAAAAGGCGAAAGCCATGCAGGGCTGGACTCCAGCAGGCTCAGCTCCACGGGGGAGATGCAGAGACATCCCTGCTTCCTCTTGCGCTCCTCACGCCGTATTTATTACACTGATTATTTTAGCGCGGGGACTTTGTGGCCCCCAGCAGTGCAGCACTAGGCTGTGTAACCGAGGCAGGCTGCAGGCTGGGTGCCGGCTGGATGCTCACTGCCTTGCCAAGAGACGTTCTTGCACCTTATGGGATGCTATGGCTGGGGTAACCCGCTGATTTCTTCTTCCTTGAGGAAACCAGCCCCAGGTGTGGATCTCCTCCAGACTTAGCGTTGCAGGAGTACTTCAAATCCTCCATTTAGTTCAGTAACTCTGGCAGGAGTTAAATATCAGCAGCAGTGCATCTATAATTTAGAAGACTGCCAGGAAGAGGGCTGAGTCACTAAGCTGGATCCATCACCTCTAACTGTGTTTCTCAGGCTAACTGCAAGTGTCCGCTTGTGCCCAAGAACAAAATGAGCCTTTTCGGAAGGACCCTGAGCCAAATCCATGGCTCGTAAGACTGTATTTGTACACAAATAGATACAAGGGCAGCTAGGCACCGCACTTCCTGCAGATGCTTCCATAGCTCCACGCTACGAGCTGCTGGGAGAGAATAAGCAGAGCGCTCCCTGCGCCAGCCAGGTTTTAAAGGAAAAAAAAGCTTTAATTCTGGGGAAGCCAGCCTGTGACAGTCACACTGTGTGCAGTGCTAGCAGGAGCCCTTCTCCGGGTCCCACAGCGCAGCCCCAGCAGGCCCAGCGCTACCTCCACCAGCACTGCACTGGCTTTGTGTGGGTCTCCCTGCTCGAGTGCAACAATTAAGCTGATTGCTAAATTAGCAATTCTGCCCTGCAGCCTTGTGGGCAGAGGGAGTCCACAGAGATGGTGCAGGCCCTTCCCTCGGCAGGAATTGTGCTGACAGGACAGTCCATCCGTCTTGGCGTCTTTAGACAGCTGTGCTTACCTAGCAGAATGTAAACATCTCTGAACTTTGCTTACTGGATAAAAGGAAGCATTAGTTTCCTATTGCATTTCCTCCTGCAAGATCAATCATACATGCAGGCTAGACAGAGCTTCCCTGTGTTTGTAATTAATCTCGGAAAGGAGGAACATCTCCTCTCCATCGATTGCTATATTTGTATGCAGCCTTCCTGCGAGACAGAGAGTGGAAGAGGAAAATAAGGGCGAGTAGCAGAATAATAATCAGCCGATCCCTTAATAAGGGCCTCATGTGCTGTAGACACAGCAAGATGCTTCTTTGCCGGTTCTTTGTTGGAAAAATCACCTTCTAACAGAGCGACTGGGGACCTCAGCGTTGTTTCTAGATGTCCTGATGCCAGAGGAATGTGAAGTTCACAAAGAGTTTGGGGCTCTTTTTCCGACTTCTTTTTCCCAATCTCATACAGGTGTACTGCAAACAAGCCCAATATCTCCCAGATATTCTGCTGCCTTTTGCAACGTGTCACTGCCTGCAGACACCACAATTTGGTACCACATCGGTTGTACACCGAGCTCTCTGCACAAAGGAGACTCCCACCAGCAGCTGTTCCAGAAATAGGTATCATTTGCATTTTCCTTAGCAAATACAGAAATGTTTAAACCCCAGACTAAGGAAATATTTGCTAAAAAAGCAAAACGAAACAAAAAACACACTACAACCTGCTAGATCACGAAGAATCATTTCCTCCTTTCTGAGCATGTGCAGGCACTGCACTCCTGAGGACAACG